GGGTGCAGCACCCACAGCTCAGTCCAGTGGAACCTCATGGTGCCTCAGGGCTGTCCCTGAGCAGGGTGAAGCTGCAGAAGCCGGGAGAACCCTCCCCAGGGATTATCCCCTCAGCAGAGCTGCTCCCACAGTGCAGAGAAAACGGCCTTAGGAGCTGGTAATTAATGAGCTTAGCTGTGATTAAGGCACCCAGCTCACTGCCCTTACCTGAGCCYGCTCCCAGCCCACAGAGCCTGCTCCGAGCACCCTGAGCTGGGGCTTTGCTCTCTGCTCAGGATTTCACCCCAAAGCCCCACTGAAACACGGGATCTTCCAGCAGCATTGCCCTTGCTCCGTGGGGATGGGATCAGGCACAGATAGGAATGGGGAGGGAACACCACGATGACAGCCCTCCAAGATACCCAGCCAAATAAACAGCTTTTGGCCCCAAAACCAGCTCTGCAGCAAAAACCCCAAATCCACAGCAGTGTCTGCAGCACCCAGGGATCTCTGACAAGAGGGAAATGAAAGATGGAGCAGAGCAGGCTTGCTCAGCTCATCTGCCTTGGAGGATGGGCAAAATCCTGCATTTCCTGTAAAATCCCATGTGGAATAATCCCACAGCAAAATCATTGCAACTGTGCTTTCCTACTTCTTTTCAGAGTCATTCAAAGCTGCTGAAGATGAGAAAGACAGAGCAGCTTGAGAAAAAAAAACAAACATAGGAAAAAAAGCCAAATGAAAATGGCAGTTTGTTCCAGCCTGCAGGAATTTCACAGTGGGATTGCTGGGGCTGGTCGGGGAAAGGCCAAGAGCTGGACTTTGATGATCCTTGTGGATCCAGCTCAGGATATTCTATGATGCCATAAAATGTTTAAATATAGTTTACACCAGCTGTGGAATAMATCAGCATGTCGCTGATGATGTTAGGGTGATTTTTTTGGTGGAAAACATGGAATGGATTTAGTTRGGGTTTTTATGTCCCAGCAAAATTCAGCAACCCCCAGGGTTTCAGCAGTGCCCAAGTGGCTTCTCTTTGGAAATGCATCAATAATTGTGATGTTTGAAGACACTGATGCTCAAAGAGTGCAGAGGCAGCTGGTTCTGACCACATTCCTGATTTTCCCCTCTCCTAAGTAACAAATCATCAGAGATTTTCCCCCAGAGCAGCCGACACCCAAAGCAAAGATAACTGGGAAGGGAAAACTGAATAGAAAGCTCATTCCCTTCATCACAATCAAAGGGCATTGACATTCCCTGTGTCCTGTCCCTCCATCTCTTGTCCCCAGTCCCTCTCCAGCTCTCCTGGAGCCCCTTTAGGCCCTGGCAGGGACTCTGAGCTCTCCCTGGAGCCTTCTCCTCTCCAGATGAACAYCACCAGCTTTCCCATGTCCCTCTCTATTGCATGGACACCTCTGTCTCCTCATTCCCTCTGATCCCACTGTGATCCCATTGTCCTGCTCTGTGCAGGGCGGGGCTGGGAGCAGCCCCAGCTCGGGCTCTGTTGAGCAAGGCCGGCTGCTGGGAGGAGCTGCAGCTCTGCCCATCCTGCAGAGCAAACATTCCAGCCCTGCCGCTCCCTGGCTTTGTCAAACTCACAGATCGGTCTAATTACTCATCCCCCGCGGTGCCACCGACCCCGGGCTCCGTGGAAACAATAACAATAAATCAGTGTTAAAATTAGTCACTCCTGCAGCACAGGATCGATATGGCCGGCACAGGGGCTGCATTCCTGCGYTGCTTTTCAGTTCCTGCATTCCTGAGCCTCCTGACATCGCTCCCAACCACGGGCAGTGACTTCACCCACTGAGTCATCGCCCTGCTGGGACCTCGAAGCTTCACACAGAACAGAACCTGGGGACTCCTGCAGGCATCACCCAAAAACYCCAAACACGGAGATTTCTGCCCCCAAACTCGCAGCCTCACACAGAACAGAGCCCGGGGACTCCTGCAGGCATCACCCAAAAACCCCAAACACAGAGATTTCTGCCCCTGAGCTCGCAGCATTGTTGGTATATGATGTCCCACAGCTCTGCAGCTTCAGTCAYGTCCTCTGGAAAAGGGACAGCTCGGTGTGCTCCCCCTGCCCAGGCAGCACCTTCCGTTCATTCATTATTCCTTAGCAAGCACTTCTGCCATTCCTCTGGCAGGACTCAGAGCAGACACGTTGACCTCCAGCTGCTTAAAATTGCCCTCCTTGTCCTTTTGTGCTCCCTGTGAGCATTTCTGGGACAGTTCTGATCATTCCTGGATGAGACAGCGAGCCCCAGACAGGGCTCTGATGGCAGCAGTGCCTTGTGCCCGGGCGGTGACGTCTTCCCACAAAAACTGGAGAATCACTCATCCCTCAAACAGGCTTTGGGAGCCCTCCCTCCATCCCTCCCCACTCCCCAAAGCTCCTGTTTCCTCCCCCTCAGGTCCCACCATCCCCAGGGATTTCAGGTGACAGTTCAGAGATCTGAATTTCCGGAATCGATGATTTGCAGCTTCGCTCCAACACTGGAATCTCGCCCGTGGGCCCAGAGCGCTACTGCAGGGAAAGCAGAGGCTGCAGATCCGGGCAGCTGCTCACAAACCAATCCATTTAAGTCAGCAAACAAGTTAATCCAGATTAGCTTTGTGCCCACAAAGTGCATTAATAACGCTGCCGTGGCACTGTCACCGAGCAAGGCTAATGCGGATTACACGCTACGAGGGCAGCAGAGCTGGGGACCCTGACAACTCATCCGGAGCCAGGAAGCCCGTGGCAGGCAGCAGGATACATGGCAGAGCACATAGCGCTCCTTGGGGCGGCTCTGAGCCTTTTCCAGGGAATTTTGAGCTGCCCCGAGCACTCAGCAGCTGCAAAAACGCTGTTGAAATTGAGAAATTGAGGGGAAATCCACGCAAATTGAAGCGGTTAATGAACACTTCACTGACAGGTCTGCTACAAAAGAGCCATGAGCTGTGGAGCCTTTCATCCCTGAGGAAGAGGARGATATCCGGAAGAGCACTGTAACTTCACCAAAGCTCCTGCAGTGTGCCCMGGACTGTTCTTGGCAGGAGGCAGTGGCTCCCTCAAGAATTATTGCTCGGGAAGATGAAAATGTGGTGCCTGTTGCTCCTGGAGGGGCAGGGCTTGCACCATGTTTATTGTCCCTTATAAAAATGCCATTTTCTCCCTGGAAGAGCTGCGTCCCAGAGGGCTCAGACCCYGCACTGAGTGGAGTCACAGGATGGAATTTTTGCTATGTTTTTTTTTGGTGGAGCTGAGGCAGCTCAGTGCTACTGCACTACAGAGAACAGGGTTTATTTCAAAATCCTTCCCTCAAACACACTTTASTGAAGCATCTTCTCCCTTTCTGTTCTCCAGAATMTTGGAAGCAGRGCTAAAAATCACCCAAACATTGAGRGGTGCTGYTGACTCMRTCACTCCCAWCAGCCAATCCACCTGCAGCTCTGCTGGATTTTGAACCCAGCATGTTGGAAAATTTCTAATTTTCCTCACTGTGCAAGCAGATGGTGTCCATTCCTGAGTGCTGCACTTTACAAAACTCAGCAGCTTTGACAGGAATGACTCCAGTCCGGTGGCTGAGGGAGGGGTTGTTGAGGACACAAAGCTCAGGCTCAGGTCCTGGGGACAGCTTTGGGTCCTCAGGAATGGAGGACCTGAAGGGGCTGGAGCATGTCCAGGGCAGGGAATGGACCTGGGAAGGGTCTGAAGCCCCAGGAGGAGCTGAGGGAGCTGGAAAGGGGCTGAGCCTGGAGAAAAGGGGGATCAGGGAGACCTTGTGGCTCTGCACAACTCCCTGACAGGAGGGGGCAGCCGGGGAGGTCGGGCTCTGCTCCAGGGAACAGGGACAGGAGGAGAGGGAACGGCCTCAGGCTGGGCCAGGGGAGGCTCAGGGTGGACATCAGGAGGAATTTGTGCATGGAAAGGGTAATCAGGCCTTGGCAGGGGCTGGCCAGGGCAGTGCTGGCATCCCCACCCCTGGAGGTGCCCAAAGGTGCGTGGATGTGGCACTTAGGGACATGATTAGGTCAAAGGTTCACACCATGACCTGGGAGAGTTTTCCAACCTCAGTTCCAAGAACAGGAACTGCAGAAAGATCCCTGCACGAAAGCCACAATCCCACCCCTCCAACACTCCATCAACATTTCCCGGGATCCCTGAGCCCACCAGGAGCAGCAGCTCCCGAATCCCTGCTCCCGTGCCAGGTGCTGGCAGAGCTGTGGGTCACACGCTGGCAGCGAGGGGCGTGTGGGGCACTGCCAGAGCATTTCCCAGCCATAGATACTCACTGTGAGAGAAGCGCTGCGTGATGGGCGTACCGGGGTAGGGGTAAGTGCGGCTCTCCCACTGGATGTTCCCCTCCTGCACTGCCTTGATGAAGCCGTGGTAGCATTGATGGGCCACGCCTGCGGGAGAGAGCAGGGTGTCAGCAGGATGCCCGGGGGCATTGAGGGCACCCAGGGTCACCAACATGCCGGGAACGCAGGGATCAACGAGAATAAAGAACAGGGAGCTCTGCAGAGGTGGAAATGGGCAATGTAGAAATCCCTGACCAGGGTCACGCCACCCCCACAGCTCCGGAAGCAGAGCCTTGGGGAAAGGATGGACGGCTGGGAGTCTCTGGAGAGCCGCTGCTCAGCCCTGTCAGCTCCACCACGGCCCCCTGCACCCTCAGCACACCCCCAGAGGTGGCCTCTCTTCCCTCAAGGAGCCTCAGAGGAGAAATAATGTGCAACARCCGATTTTTAAGGGTGTGGATGCATCTCCTGCCCAGGGATCTAAAAAGAGTAGGAGAGGAGACATCAGTGATAAAAACCAGCAGGGATGCTCCAGGCTGCCGCTAATTCTGTGTGAGGGAGGGGCCAGAGGCGGCTCCCTGTGGGGACAAAAGGGTCTGGAGAAGGTTTCTGGCAGCAGCAGCTCAGCAGACACTTGGTGGCACCTGCACTGAGGATGCCACAACCTGCCAGGAGCTCCTCCCCAAGCTCTGTGCCAGGAACACTGCCAGAAGGAAATCCCATGTGGGGATAAAAGCAGGAAGGGATTTTTAATAAAAAATAAAGCCCTGGRTCCTCAAGGAGCTGATCCCTGAGAGTCACACAGCAAACAGAACATGAGCTGCAGGACATACAGCAGCTGTATCCTGACGAACAGGAAAAATGAACCAGGAGAACACAAATCAATAGTTCACCTCGAGTGACCTCAATTGGCACAGCTCACAACTGGTGGCTCCAGACCCGTTTTTGGCTGGAATTGCCCCAGAAGGGCACAGCTGCCCAGCACTATGTGTCCCCTGGGAGGTGACACAGCCCAAGGCCACGCTGTGTTCCGGCTGGTCATCCCCCTGCTCCAGGGGTGTTTMCCAMATCCTTTTGGGGTCAATTGGTGTTWGTCCACTCCAGCTGCATYCCTGGCAGCTGCTCCTGGAAATGCCCTTTCCCCAGGGCTGTGGGTGGCTGCTGCCCCAAAAATATGCACAAAAAGAGGAATTTCAGGCCACACTCCATGCTGAGGTAGCTGTGCTTTTTTAACCTTCAGTCTGCTCAGCTCTGGGGAAGTGGGAAATGCCTGGAATCTGAGCAATGCTTTCAGAGGAGGAGAAGGCTATAAATGAGCCAACACCCCACAGACTGCCAAGGGCATTCCTCCCCTGACACCCCTCCGTGTTTTCCAGAAGGAACACAYTCCCCTTGTGCAGCAACGTGTCCCATTTCCTACAGATTTAACTGCACTCTCCTCCGAAACTCCTTGGTTTTTAAATRAAGCTTGTGACCAAAGTGTGCACCCAACAGAATTGTACCAGGAATCACCCAGTGCCTTAAAATAAAATGAAGCAGAAGGTTTTGCTTGTATCCTTGTCCTTTTCCCTCCCTATTTGCTGTATCATACTTCTCCAGCACTAAAACACCCCCAGGAGGCTCTGGGAYGAGCGCTGTGTGGAGGCAAAGTGAAGCATCTGTGGCTCAGGGCTGCTCTTTCAGGAAGCTGGAATATGCACATCTCTATTCATGCAGATTTTATATCCCACTTATCTCCAGCAGAGATGCAGGAACCAGAGCCGAARGCAGCAGCTCTGGGAATGTTAACTACTGAGCAAGACTCAAACAAAGCACAATTAAAGCCACATTAGCCATGGGACACTGGTAGGGGCTGCGGGGAGGAAGCTGCAACCCAAGGTCACCAGTGCTCCGCTGGGAGCACCCAGGAGCTGCTCTGTCATGGRGTTTGGGTTGGAAAGACCTCAAAGCTCACCCAGCTCCCTCCCCCTGCCATGGCTGGGACCTTCCACTATCCCAGGGTGCTCCAAGCCCKGTCCAGCCCRGCCCTARACACTCCCAGGGATGGGAATCCACAGCATCTCTGGGTTTTCTATCCCTAGAGAAGCTGAGGGGTTCAATTTGTACTGTCACAGCCCCGGCTTGAGCAAAGTGAGCGACCCTGTGGGYGCTAGGGTTTCTGTGGGATTTCACAGCAGTCAGATTTCAGAGTTTGAGGGGCAAACAAGGGCAAAGCTGAAGGAGAGCTGGGCTACAAATGGCTGCTGCCACAGCGAGAGCAGAGCGCTACCGCTCCTGTACCTTTGATCAGTCGATACCACTGCTTGCATACGAGGGCGGCAGTCTTGTGCTCCTGGTAGGGAGAGAGGAAGGACAGGATATATTCCAAAACCTCCTCTGGCAGCTCCAGCATCGATCTGTTGTGCCTGGGCTCCTCCACCTCCGGCTCAACGTGYGGCTCCTCCTCCTGCTCCATCGTCCCTTCCACCACGGTGTCCTCTGGATCCACGGCCATGAAGCCATCATCRTCACTGTCCGAGGAGCTGGCCATGGCATCCCACGTCACAGCTGCCAGCAGGGAAAAGGGACAGTGGGGAGGTCACAAAAGGGATCACACTGAGAGGGGAGCATGTCCCACAAAGGGCTCTGCCACAGCACACACTGAGTTGGGGACGTGGGTTTGTGGTTTAGGATGGCGTTTTCCCAGGCCACTCCATCTCTCCCTGCCCTGCTGCTGCCTCCAGTCGGAAGCAGAGCCAGAGCCAAAGCCCTGGAGCTGCTGCTCCCTCGCTGGGTACAAGGAGACATCACCCTGCCCTGCACCGTGGGGCCCAGCAGGATGGGGAAAGGATCCCTGTGGAATCTCACCCAAGGTGGGACAGGATCACAGCGACATTCACAGTCCCTCCACCCCTGTGGAACCAGTTCTGCCAGCAAGGCTGTTTTACCCCAAACAACTGCGGAGGAAAAAAATTCCTGTCTCATCCTCACACCCCTTTTCCTTTTATTTGTGAAATACCTGCACACAGCCCTGCTGGCAGGAAGTGAGGAAAGCAAATCCCCCCAGGATTCACTGCTGAGGGAAGGCTGGGATATCAGAGGTTGTATCTCCAGCAATTCAGAACATCCCAAGGCGGCGCCTCAATGACAGAAATGTATCACGAAATAAATCCACCTTAACGAGGCTGTGTCCAATGTGGGCAGCTGGCACTGTGTGAGCTTCAATCCATSTTTGCTGCAYGAGACAAATCCCTGGACTCTCTTTYCCAGGAATCAGCCAACCCGTCTCGAGGAGAGCAGCCACAGTCTTCCCTCCCAAGGTGGCTGAGCAAAGACCCAGGGAGACAACGGCTCCCTGAGTGCTCATGGAGCAAAGCTCCAGCCACAGCAACAGCTCACGAGGGTGACATGGCACTTTTCCAGAAATTCCCTTTTCACCTTTCCCTAGCAGGAGGAAAGGACCCAAACCAGGGAGAGCTCCCGGGTCTTGCATTGCTCAGCAGGAGTTTCTCCCAAGCCCCCAGGGCAGAGGCTCCCCAGCCATCCCCTGGGCCAGAGCTCACCGGGGTTATGGGATGCAGATCAACACACTCCATGAGATAAACCCAACCTGCAAAGCCCAGGAAGCAAACCAGCTCCTCAAAAGGGTGCACAAAATGTGTCTTTTCCCCAACACACTTCAATATTAGAATTTTTCTTTTTTCCCAAACCCTTACTATCTCAGAAAATACAGCTGGAAGGAATTTAAGTTATGTCATAGTTTAATGTGGGTTACCTAGCAGGATAAATATYCTGATATAGAAACATCCTGATAGATAGAATATCCTGATAAACAAACCCTGTTAAACCACCAGTGTGGGTCATGGCCCTGATTTACACTCGTGGTTTATTGATCAGGAACAACCTGAKCTGTGTTACAAACCCAGAGTTTTCCCATTCTGGCACACACGGAGCGRGAGAGCCGTGGGAACAGCAGGCGGTGGAGACGGGGAGCAGAAAAGCTTCCCATGGCAACSGATCCACGCCCAGGAAAATGACAGGCGACACATCAGTCTCGCTCCTGTCAGGCTCCCTGATGAAGCAGCTTTGGAAAATCCACAGCGCTGTCAATCTTGAGGAGAAGCCACAGCACAACTCGGTGCGGAGTTCACATCCCACCAGCTGCTCCGCACGTTCCCCGCGCCACCAATCGCTGCCGGAGCCACTGTTGTGACAGCAGGAGCTGCAGCCCAAATGCTGTGACACAGGAGATGCTGCCAGAACCTGCCTTACGCAGCAGAAAAGGCACGGATTCCAGGGGCTGAGGCACAGAAAATGGAGGGGGGGAAGGGAAAAGTGGAGCTGTGCAAAAAATTAATTAAAAAACAGGGGGTTGGGCCTTTTCCAAGCAAAGACATCCACGGCTGGGAAGTGCCTGTGCCGGATCCGTGCAGGGAGCTCCAGCCTTGGGAGGGTGGGAAGGAGGAGAGTCCCTCCTTCCCCCTCCACCCTCCATCCGTGCCTGGGAACAGGAGCAGCMCAGCTCCCCAGGAGGAGGAGGAGGTTCCCCACCCTCAGAACGTGCCAGAATCCCGAGCAGGAGGCGTTCGCCTCTGCCCGGGGACATTAGGACCCTGTGGGGCTGGGGGGTCAGGACCACATGTRACCCCAACAGCTCTAATTTGTCCTTTATTTGTTCTTTATTTGTCCTGTCAAWCAGGCCCAAATCCTGCTGGAGGGAATCATGAGAAGTGCAGGGTCAAACACTTGCTAGAAAGAAGGGTTTTCTGTTAAATCCCCATTTGGATCCCCTGGAGCAGGCTTGGGAAYGACCCAACACAGCAGGCTGATCACAGGCACAAAACAACAAAATTCATCTTTAAGGCTGATTTTAAAACAKCAGAAGGAGCCCCAAACAGCAGATCTGAGGATGGAGAAGGTCCAGAGTTTTGGCTGCTTTTCCCAAGCCACTTGATAACATTATAAATATTCCAAAGCATCTCCTTTGCTAAATCCTTGTTTCCTAAATGTTTGAGCATAAGGAATAACCATCCTTGGAGTTTTCACACCCACGCTGTGTTCTTTCTCAGAAGGAAAACGAGGCCAACAATAAACTCAGCTCCCAAAAGGCAGCTTGCCGTCAAAATAACCCTCCAAGCTTGACCTGCCACAGATGTGGGTTTTGTTTGGAACGGCGGGCTGGGAATTACCACCCCTGAATTGCAGAGCAAAGCCCTCACTTAAAACTCTGCTCCAACACAGAAAAAGGTAAAAGAACCCAGGTGAGAAAGAGCTGAAGCACCCCAGCAGCTCCTGTTGCCAGCTGTGCAGCAGATCCCTGGGAAAAAAAAATCCCTCACCTGGGCTTTCCCTGGTTATTCCAGGAGCAGAATGAGTGTTCCTGCATTTTTGGGGATTAAAGAGGCGCTTTTTGCCTCGTCCTGGCTCTCCAGGTGCTCCCTGCTGGCACCATGCTGGGCTCCACTTTGTACCTTGGCTAAAATCAATCTCTGAGCACCCAAACAGCTGCRATGAAGAGATTTAAAGAGCTGTGTCTCACCCCAAAGTGGCTGCAATCCAATGAACGCCGGGATGATCCCAGAGCCCCGTCCTGCAAACACCAACACGACCCCCAGACATTCCACTGCATCCTGCACCCCAGAGCCCTCCTGATTGCAGGGAAAAGCCTTTGTGTTCCAGCACTGGGAGGGTTTTGGGGTTCAGGAATCAGTCCAAAGCCAGAGCAAAGAGCAATGCTTCAAACACCCCGCATGGAAGCACAGCAAGGGCAGTGGCGGTGGAGCTCTGCTGGCACTGAGGAATCTGCCTGCCCTTTCCCAAAAGCTGCATCTCTGCCAGCTGGCAAAACACTCYGTAATCCTTTTCCTCCTTTCAGAGCACTTCAATTTTCCCTCTCTCCCCTCCTGAAATTAGTTAAGAACCTGCTATTTATTCCTAAAGTAATTATCTGGAACAAACAGCTGAGGAATATTAAATGCAGGCAAAATAGCCCCACCGAGCTGGAGCACTGCTCCAAACCTGCTCCTGCAAATCCCCCCGTGATCCCAGCAGGTTTTCCTACCTGTAGGCACCTGTCCTGGTACCTTGTACCCCAGTCTCAGGTGTGGGTGGCACTGATGGCTCCCAACCCCAGCTGCCTCCTCTCCTCCACAGMTTCCAGCTGCTTTAAGAAGTGCTTGAACCCGCGGGTTCTTCACCTGTTTTTCCCCCCTTTTAATGGATTTTAAGGGAAAAAAAGCCTCCCAGGGAAAGCTGTTGACTGGCAGTAAGAAGCTGAGCGCTGGTCCTGAGTCAGAGCACTTCACTCACAGGGTTTCACAGGCCACAAGAAATGCTCTGTCCAAACAGCACCGCAGGAGCTGCTGCTGTTCCCACYGGGAACAAAACATTCCAGGTGTGTGAGAGGACCCAGCCCAGGCTRGGGCTGGAAGGAGACAAAGATTTAATTGCACTTGGCAATCAGGAGCTTGGTACTCATTTAGGGCTGGAAGGCAGCGCTGTCTTCAGCTCATTCCAGACTCTTCCTCATACTTTGGGATCGCTGCTTCCGCGTGCCAGCRGCTCCAGTGAAGCACTCCAGGAGACACTTTCAGGCTGATTGATTTTCTTAACCCAGGCCAAACAAAAATCCTCTTTGATCAGAGAGACACGGTTAATTTTTACTTTAAAATATTCTTATCTGGGGAGGATTCTTCCTACACTTTTTCRTATTTCAGTGTTTGTCTCCCCAGCTGCACCATCAAAGACTTCACCTGCAGCTTTCCCTGCTCTCAGTTTTACCCTAAAAGAAGCCTGAGAGCTTTTCTGGGGAGAAAAGAGGAAAATCCAGCGCTATTGCCAAGGAAAAGTGCAATATTTTATAAAAGCAACAGCACAGGGAGTGAAAGGTCTGTGGGAACCACGGGATTCAGGATAGGGATAAACACCATGAAATGAAGGGATGTTTCCAGTCCTCCAAAGCTTGCACCAGCTGGAGCCGATCCTTTTGGAAATCAACARTAGGGAAAAAAMCTCWGATTTTAGTCAAAAAAAGAAAAGAAAGCCTCTGGGAAGCTGAGGGATGAGCAATATTCCATCTGTGTTGAGCAAGACCATGGGAATACCACCACCATGGATGCTCCTTATCCCTGCAAAACAGGCAATTCCAAAAGTTCTTCCAAGAACAGCTTTCCCTGTTTAATTTTTGTTTGTTTGGTTTTTTTTTCTTCAACAGTAAATTGTTTTTTTTTTTTTACAAATTACCCAGGAAAGCAAAGAATCCCTAAATTCCATCTGCAAGGTTGAAAATTCCAGCATTTCTCTCCCAGCACAACCTTCCTGTGCTGGCTTTGCCTTTGAAAACAGTGGCTTTAGGGACTCTGGGAAAAAATTCCAAACAACATAATTTTTGCTGCTCCCCACTGAACAGCTRAATTTTGGTTGCTATTTCTGCAATAAAAAGGTATAAAGATCCCARGGATTCCTCCCAGCCCCATGAAGAGCTGACCCTCAGCTATTTCAAAGAACCCTGCTCATTTTTTCCAAGCTTTCAGTAAAAAACAGGCAGCAATGTTAACATTACACAGCAGGATTTATTGCACAAACAGCACAGCAACCTGCAAACAAATCCTGCTGAATCTGTATTCCCACAAAATTCATGCACTAAAAACCAGAATGGAAATGTGGGGGTTTATTCTGGATTAATTATTGGAATACAAATCAGGGAATGTGTTTGAGGGTGTGGGGTTCACAGAAAAAGGGGAAACAGCAGAGTTTAATGACACCACCCTTGAGGTGTATGGAGGGAAATCTGCAGTAATAATAATAATAACAATAATAACCCTCAGAATTGGCTCCAGAGCTTCATAAATATTAATAAATATGCAGGAAATTTATAATGGAACCACGAGGAGAGCACTTCCACTGACCTAAACTCCAACCCAGTTTTGCTCACGTGAAAAATGAGTCTGAAAACACAGCTCCTGTAAGTTCTGTATTTCCATTTCTACACCAAAAAAGACAATCCTTAAAAACCCCTGCAGAAGACCATGAAAAAAAGCCCAAATCTCCATTACCCATGAACCCCTSTACTTGTCATGGATGGATTTGGAGAATTTCCAAGTTTTTGGACAATATCATTACCCTTAGAAAAGCTTCATTTGTTCCAAACCTGCCAAAACCTGCCTTGCCGAGCCCTGGCAGCAGAAGAGGAGCTGCTCGGGTCCAAGGGTTGTTCCCTTTCCCCTAGCTCCTGAAATCCCCTAAATTCTGTAGGAAAAGAGGAGGATTTYAGGCTCACACGCTCCCTCTGCTGGCTCCCGCCAAGCCCTTCATTCCAATTATCCTCACCTTGACTTTTCCCAGCAAACAAATSCCATTTCATTTGCAAACTGAACTCCCCAAACCCGGAATAATCCCTAACTAGGCAAATAAAAGGCTTTGAGGCTGGGAAACTGAGGTTTTTCCACGGCAAAGGGCAGCTGTTCCTCCTGCTGTAACATCTACTGTCGGAGGTTAAACTTCATAGGATCAAAGCATCCAAAGGGATTTATCCAAACCTGCCCAGGATCTTTATTGGCAAGAATTCCCGACTGGAAACACCAAGCAAACCTGCACGAGGAGATCCCGGAAATTTCTGTCCCCTCTTCCTCCATTAGGAGAGCACAAGAGCTCCCAGACACGTACTTGGAAAGCTGTGGATGATTATTTTGAGGACAGACTGTAAAAATGTCACAGCATTCCCTGAGTTCTCCAGACACCTGAAACCTCCCAAAGTCACYGAAATTGGTTCATCCGCACAAATGAAGGGAATTTATGATGGAACCACGAGAAAAACACGGCCACTGACCTAAAATCCAGCTCAGCCTGGCTCATGAGAAAAATCAGCCTGAAAACACAACTCCTGTGAGTTCCRGCTCTCCATTTCCATCCAGCCCAACGCCCATCTCCACATTCCAACTGCCCGGGCRGAATAATTCAATGAAAAACGTGGAAATACCTTAGAAAAGGGTTTGTTAACAAAACATCCAGACATGTTGGATGACTCAACTCCCAATTTTTAGACAGGCTGGTGGGATTATTCTGTTCAATCTGTTCTGCACACAGTTAGAGCCCCCGAGGCAGTGCTGTCCCCACGTGTCCCTGCAGCGCTGCAGGAAGGGCAAGCGACAGAGCCCAGCCAGGAGAGCCYGGGAGCACATCCACCTCCTGTGGCTTCACAGCAGCTCCACRGCAGCTCCATGGCACCYGGGCAGGCAGGAAAATGGCATTTCCTACYCCWGACCRCTCGGGATGGGAGTGCATCCACCTCCTGCGGCTCCACGGG